TGTGGTTCGTCATTTGAGGTCACCCCCCCGGGGCCAGAGTCTCCAGAGCTGTGGTATTTTGAGCTCCGTTCAGGACCGATCCAGGCGGAGAACATCATCTTCAGGTTGGGCTATGCTCCCCTGCCCTGCTGGGAAACAGCTGCTTTGATGCTCACATTACAGGCCACCGCTCTCCAGCCCCCAGCGAGGTGGTACCCGGTTCCCAGCCCCTGCCCTATCCCTGGGTCCCCCATCCACAGGGAAGAGCCCCCTGCATAGCCCTGCTTACACAGGCTCTCAGTGTGCAACACCCCACGGCACCCAGGGAACCCCAGAGGCACCACAGCTCCCCTCACCTCCCAGCGCAGCAGTGCTGCCCACAGCTCTAATGGCTCGCAGCTCCTGCGCTGCTCCAGCCCTAGAGCCCAGCACCCTCCCAGCCAGGGCCTGAGGGGTCTGGGCCAGGAGTAGGACCTTCTGGCCAAGCAGGACCATTTCCCCCACCCCATTCACGCACGTGGTGCCAGAAGAAAGCAGTCAGAGCCTGGATGTTGCATTTCCACCCGTTTATTGGGGAAGCCGCACCAAAGTATTAAAATAAATTAAAAGCACGGGCCGTGTGGGTGCATTGCATACATAAGTATTAGGAAGGCAAAGGCAGAGTGGGATCTTCAGTAGAGAGGTGGGTAGACGGGATGGAGCACCAGGGAGTCCCAACAACTGCAGAAACCTCTACTGTAAAAAAGTAGTAATAGCTGCAAAACTAGAAGTACAAAAAAATCTGGTACCTTTCGTGTGGTCTTAAAGGCAAAGTCTGAGTCAGACCTCCTTGTAAGGAGGCACTGGGCTGGAAGAGACCTGACTGGTGAGGTGGGCAGCAGGGAAGAAAAGCACGAAACCCAGGGAGATGAAAGGGGAAATACACAGGACCTGGCCGGGAAGCAAGGCTATCCTTCACAGCTCTGCCCTCCTGGAGGCAGACGACTGTGTCTAGTCATTACAGTTTCAGGATCTTGACAAAGTCACACCCTTCCTCCTCATCTTCCAGGCCTGTTATTTGTGCCTCATTCCACCTGTCCCCAGCAATAGGCCCAAATCTGATGCAGGAAGATTTATTGCAGTAGGGGAGAAAAGCGGTACTGCCTCTTGTCCTCCAGTTTCCCACTTGGAGGAAACAGACCATTCCCGCATCCCACCCTGCTCTTAAGGAGACTGAGTCCCAAACTATCACCAGACCCCCCGAATGTGAACACAGCAGGGCCCCCTCACCCCACACACAGAGGGGAACACGACCGCCAGAAACGTGGGATCAGCTTGGGACCAGAGGGATGCTGCCGGTCAGGGCAGGGATGTGCAGAGTCACCAACCACCGACAGCTCAGACTCGGGCGGTCCGATGTGGCCTTGGCTCTGTCCCACATGTCCCCAGAGACCCCTGCCCCAGGTGCTCCCTCTGATGAGACCCTCTCCCTCCCTCCCAACCTTTCCAAAGGGGTCCATTGCACCACAGTCTGACTCCAGCTCAAGGGAGCTCTCCAGCTCTCCCTCCCACCCCAGAGAGACAGTCCTGGAGAAGGGGGGTACCCAGCACGGCTCCCCCAACTAGCTACAGCCGCAGGCATCAACAATCATGTCAGGGATGTCAGTCTTGACAATGTTGCTATTACGATCGAAGTAGAGGACAGAGAGTGGCCGGCGTCGCGTGGGCACGCAGCAAGAGTGCCCCGATGCCTGGATGTTGTTAGCTTTGACGAGGTTGAAGACAGCTGTGTGGAAAGAAGAGGCCATCCCAGGGCTGCCTGCCACATGTAGAGGGCACTGGCCCACACAGTAGTTTATCTGGTAGCCCTCAGGCTTAATGATCCAGTCGTTCCAACCGATGTCACGGAAATCCACATAGTAGTCCTTGCGGCAGCAGAAGTTGGAGTTCTGGCTGCAGTGGAGGCTGCGCTTGGCCACGTGGTGTCCCGGCTCCCGCACCTTTGCCTCAGCCACCAGGAAGGGCTGATGGGACCGGCTGGCATTGACTATTGCCATGATATCACCCCCATCCCCACGGCTTTCCAGTTCCAGCCGCAGGGTCCTGCGCTCTCCCCCAAAGAAACTCTGCAGGGCAGGCATGAGGGTGAAGGCGCGCCAGCCACTGCCCTTAGCACTCAGTCGCCTCTCACTCAGCAACGTGCGATTACCCCCCACCAAATCACCTTCCCCACCAGCAAGGAAGATTCTCAGGGTGAGGCTGGCTACCAGGTCTCGGGGAACTCGAAGGTAGAGCCAAAGCTGAGCCTGCAGGATGTGAATGTCCTGGTCTTGCGTACGGCTGAACTGGAACCGCAG